AAAGTTAAAGGTCACATGCAACGTAAAACACGACTTTGCAGATTCTGATACCTTTCGGTATGGACTTGACAGTAACAAATGATAAAAAATGCAAATTCAACTTATAAAGTTGAAAAATAACGCGATGAAAAAAACCCCGCGAAATCGGAGTTCAAACGATTCACTAAATTCACCCCAGCTGGGGTGAAAAGTGGTTTCAACAGCTGTGCTGCGCTGCGCTGTACTGCGCTTATGGCGCATGCGCAGTGAAAATGTGTCTGCCTGCATGTCTGCTAATGACAATATGCAATACACAACTTCGATCACTGACCACATTCAATTTGAACTTAACACCTATCAGGCTGTACACCATAAACAAAACGCATTGACTTATGGCTCGTGTACCCGAGTTCTGTCTCTGTCACATTATGTAATTACACAGACAGGCAGGTGTGATACTTGTACACATGACATGTTATGGTGTCTGTTGATTGCAAAATGTTATACACAAAAATGAGCATGTATTTACAAAAACCAACATCTCTATACACACACAAAAAGCCCTGAGTGAATCGATGAACCAGCCAATGAAAGACTTCGTTACACTTGAGTGCACGCCAACCCGCTCTGACTGGGTTCGGTATCCCGGGTGCTTCGTTTTGAGGGACGTAAACCCAAGTACAAAATATTGCACTTTTGATTTGCGATTGTACGCTTATAATTTTGTGTTTTTTCATAATCAGCAATGTATATTATATGTCATGAATAAGTTATAATTGTGTTTTAATTATGTTTGTATCAAAACTTACTATAATGATTACTTCAGTCATAGTCTCAGCGTAGAATGAGTTAATCTATGACAATAAGTTGTTTCAGGTAAGACAAGAGTGAACATTGCATACACTTTTAGAGCAGGCATACCGTTATAGGTATTTTAGCGCAATGTTGTTGGTTTGATTCCATAAATATATCGCCTGTGTTAATGCCATTCCTCATTTGTGTCCCCCTCTTATATCCGGTAATCCATGGCATAATGACCGATAGTTTTGACAAGTCTGATATAGTTCATGTATCAAGCTAAATGCCAGGCCCTTAGTTCCCTCCTATTTTCCTCATGATCAATGACGTATATATAGTATAGAAAACGACAACAGCAAGCATCGATATACATGACACGTTTACACAAAAATAGCTGTCTCACGAAACTATTTTTAAGACAAATATCCGTTTTACTTCGAAATGTCAGGATAGAATTCAGTACCAGATTGTGTTCCCTAGTCATTACTTGTTCCCATCCCACTGATCGCCCTCGCTAGATATATCTACCTTGCTTTTCTCGCCGCTGTCAAGACTATTTTGAATAAGGACTCATATTGGTATGGACGAATCTGTATAAGGGCATTCAACGCTGTGCGTGATACCATAGCGAAACCAAATAGTAAACCTAACACGATACAAAAATAGTACTCTTCTGCAAGGCAGCTCTCCACCATGACGTCAGCCATCGGCTCTTTTCTCTCGGTAGTTTCCGGAATACGAACTTGTAACCTTTTTTTTGCTACCAGTATGGAATTAAGATTTTTTTCTTCAAGATGCTTTGTAAATGTTTTTATCACATATTTTAACTGTAATCTTCTTTAAACATGGAACTGTCGACTTTACTTGAGGTTGATGGCTGGTAAGGTGTTGGGACTGTTTTGGGACTTCTGACACCACAGTCAATAGTGAGCGGTTGTTAGCCTGCTTGTTAAAGATATCGCCCGTCACGCCTGTTACTCGGGTTCGATTCCCCGTATGGGAACAATGGGAGAAGCTCATTTCTGGTGTCCCCCACCCCTCCCCCCGTGATATTGCTGGAATATTGCTAACAGCGGCGTAAAGCAATACTCATTCATTCACTAGAACCTAATACTCCCGTCTTTGCCGCTTAACGAGAAACTGGTCAGGTCAGACCAGACGGTCCTCCTCCGTGTCCTCAGGTTCTATCAAAACGTATTCCAAAGGGTGTGTGAATGAGTACGAAGGTTTTACGAAGCTTTTAGCAATATTCCAGCAATATGACAGCAGGGGACACCAGAAATGGGCTTCACATGCCCGGACACTTTAACCATTTGGCTGCCCGAATGCCAAAAGGTGTCTGCGATGACGGTTGGACATAACAGGATGACTGACCATCTTCCAAGACCCAAAGCTTGATTCCTCATGTGAAGACATGTGTTCGTGGGACATCCAGCTCTTCTTCAGAAAGGTGTTTGTGTTAAAGTGCAGACCCTGGCCATTTAACTTTATTAGTTTCCCGATGTTTCTGTGTCAAGCTGCTTAAAACCTAATAGTGGTGAGCGAGCTGGCGGCCAACAGCTGTGCAGAACATTCCTGCATAATTCATGCCTATTATTTGCCAACCTTCGTCGTGAGATAATTGTTTGTCAATAATTTAGACTACAGGTCAGAATATATTCAGTTGTACATGTCTTGAGCGTCAACTGGTTTTATCAAATCATAACGTGTTCGTTATACGTGCATCGTGTACATGTTTTACGCGCCAGAGCCACTTGCACACATTCAGATGATAAGCATCGACAACTCTTCAGATCATCACTTAAATGATTCCACCAATTAATTTCATTCGCCGTGACACGAAAGTGACTAACGTGTTTAGTGAGTGCTCTGCCTTTTCTGTGTGTCAAGATGAGTCAATCTTTTGATGTGTATCCAATTAAGCATCATTACTATTCATGATAAGTATCTCATTCAATTGAAATCAATACGAGTTACTTCCCCTTTTACACCCCCACATACAGAATTCTGATTTTATTACATTCTGGTTTGAGTCTCTGTCGCATGTTCACGCCAAACCGGGATATAGTCTGATAAATAATGCTAGATGTTGTTTAACGCCGCACTTGTTCCAGCTATATGAGTGAGTGAGTGAGTTAATATTTAACGTCACATCGGCAATATCGCAGCCATTACGTGACGATCGAGCTATATGAAGGTGTCTGGACTGGAAAATCTAGTGATTGACAGAAGGCGATGGGGTGGCTCAGGGGTTAAACCGCTCAGTCGTCACGCCGAAGGCCCGGGTTCGATTCCTCACATGGGTACAATATGTGAAGCCCATTTCTGGTGTCACCCCGCAGCGATGGCATATGGAATAAAAGCGGCGTAAAACTAAACTCATCACTCATTAGTGATTGAGATATGAATAACCTAGAGATCTAAGTATAAGATTATATGTATCTAACTCAGGGCATCTGATAAAAAGTAACATACTTTCTTAGGTTTAATTAGCTGGTCTACCACGGAATAGGGGTACGTCCCTTGCCCTCATTAGCAACCAATCACTGTATGTAGGTTCGGATCCCAGTTTGCCCTGTGTACGTCTCTTGGTTTGGGTACCCGTGCTCTTGAATTTCACCAAAGTGCAAAATAGAGAATCTCACCTGAGTTTCTACTGATATCAATTATATCAACATGAGTTGATAAAGTTACAAATATCCGAGGTTTTCCTGGGATATTTTAACTTTTATCAACGAGTGTTGATATATTTGATATCAGAAGACACGAGGGTGAGATTCTATACATCATAAAAAATCACTCTTCACTAGTTTTCAGTGAAAAATGTACATCTCTGAACACGGTACTGCCATTAAATTTGCAGTGCAGCGATGTCATATCATTGTGACGTCATCAAGTTTTGACGTCATAGCATTGTGAGTCATTAAATGATGATGACAGAGCATTGTACAAAATCTACTGTCGAAACGATATATCCTAGGAGATATCGTTTGATCTCACACAAGCGGTATCTCCATTGGAACACAGCTTTGGATGATAAACGTCTGAGATCTGCATCACTTCGGGCTTTCCTCCTTTATTAAACAGACACGCAGTGATGTAACGGGATAACTGTTCAAAGCGGCGTCTACAAGTGAAGATCCGTGTCAGATTTGATCTTCAGTAACCCATGCTTGTCGTAAGAAGCTACTAACGGGATCGGGCGGTCATGCTGACTGGGTTGACAGATTTCGTATCCCATTTGCGAAGACCTTTGCTCATGAAGTCAATCACTGGATTGTCTTGTTCAGACACGAATATTTATAGATCGCCGTCATATAGCTGGCAAACTGCTGAGTGCGGTGTTAAACACCAAACAAACGGGAAATTACATACTATTACGGCGTAGAGCAACCAACATCTAAAACATACATTTATACAGACTTAACATGTAACACACCCAGTCTGTGTGGCTCTGGCAAGTGTTCATTAACTGTTAACTAGTGGTTGTCCGATTAATTGAAATAATCCAAGATTGGTCGTAGTGACTAAACGACCAAGCAATCGATCATAATTTCTCATAATCGAACACAACCAATTTTGGAACACTAGTTTTCATTAACAATATTTTTCACATGGTTGGTGTTGTCTGTTACATTTTGTAAGCACTACAAGCTCGTTTCAAGTCATGATTGAATTTATCTTAAAGGCTCCAAGAAATTTATGTTCCTAACATACTAGTCATCCTTTAAAGATGTGAAATTTTGCCAAAAAGCCCCAAAAGAACTACATGTTTTTTTCCTTATTTTTATGTGCATTAACAAATTTCATAGATGACGCTAACCAATTATTTTCGATGATTGATCGGTTGTAATGAACCAATCATCAATTATGAGATTTTAACCAATTCCCAACACTACTGTTAACCATATTGCCAATATGTGTCGGGGCGGTGGGGTAGCCTAGTGGTTAAAGCGTTGGCTCGTCACGCCGAAGACCCGGGTTCGAATCCCCACATGGGTACAATGTGTGAAGCCCATTTCTGGTGTCCCCCGCCGTTATGTTGCTGGAATATTGCTAAAATCGACGTAAAACCAAACTCAGTCAGTCAGCCAATATGTGTCGATGTTTTGTCACTTGCTGGCATGTAGGTGTTTGTTAAACAAGAAACAAACAACATCAAAGCGGCGTTAAACCCAACCCATTGGAAATACATGCATTAATCCTTGTGCTTTCATTTGCAGTGTAACAGGTTCAAGAGACGGGGACAGACGCTGACTCCCCTGACGTAACGGAACATCGTTAGCAAGTAATACAGGTTAAGGTAGGAGCTCGCCACCAGTTTATCTTGTAACATGAACTACTAATTCATCATTAGCTACTAATCGTACTACTATGGCTACTAGCACCACTGCTTCTGTTTACCTTTCTGCTGCTGAGACTGCAATTACTGCATCTTCACCAACCACTCTCCGCCTCCCATTACTGATTGTTACTTGGTTGTTACTGCAATTACTTCAGAATCAGTTATTGCTGCTATTACTACCAAGTACTACTAATGCTGCTGCAACTACTACCACTACTACTACCGACGACCCGTGAAGATCCGGGGTGGAACTGGTCTTCAGCAACCCATGCTTGTCGTAAGAGGCGAATGACGGGATCGGGTGGTCAGACTCACTGTCGTGGTTGGCACATGTGATCATATCTCAGTTGCATAGATCGATGCTCATGCTGTTGATCACTGGATTGTCTATTCCAGACTGGATTATTTACAGACCGCCGCCATATAGCTGGGAAATTGTCGAGAGTTGCGTTAAGCACCAAATAAAGTAATATTAGTGCTACTACCTACTATATTACTACTATCGTTACCTCTGCCGCTACTGTAACAACAACTGTTACAGCTACTACTACAACGTTCTACTGTAGCTATTACTTCTACTACTACAACTACTACCACTGCTACTGTCCCTACTACTATCATTTCTACTGCAGCTACTACTACTACTACTGCTGCTACTACAACGTTCTACTGTAGCTATTTCTTCTACTACTACAACTACTACCACCGCTACTGTCCCTACTACTATCATTTCTACTGCAGCTACTACTACTACTACTGCTACTACTACAACGTTCTACTGTAGCTATTACTTCTACTTCTACTACTACAACTACTACCACCGCTACTGTCCCTACTACTATCATTTCTACTGCAGCTACTACTACTACTGCTACAACTACTACCGCTACCTTTCCTACTTTCATCTCTGCTGCAGCTACTACAGCTACTACTCAATTATACTGCGGCTACTACTACTACTACCGCTACTTTTTCTACTACTATCATTTCTACTACTACAAATACTGCTACTACTACTACTACTACTACACTACTACTACTACTACTACTACTACTACTACTACTACTACTACTACTACTACTACTACTGCTGCTGCTGCTACCTTACACTGTACGCTACTTGTACACATATTAACTGCGATTGTATTAATACATGCACCAAGAATACAACGACAGTACAGTGACAGGGCTACAGGAAACTCGACGGACAAAATATCGGAGAAATAAATGGCATCCGCGGTCAATTTACGTATATCTGAAACCTTTCAAAACTACGACACCCATCCTTGCGAAGATAACCTTTCCGCGGCGAACACAGCAATACCCGGATGTATAATCCGTCTGGTGCACCGTCGACGCTGTCGTTTCTCATTACCATGCCGTCAGTTCCAGCAGCTATAGATCCAACGATCCATACATACCTCTCCTGGTCTGAGAGCATCTTCAGTGTCAACACAACGCCCCAATTAGCAAAACTAGTTAGCGTCGCTACTCCGAGTCGGCGTTCGTTAGCCCTCTGTACAAACAGAAACGTCCGATCGCCGCTTCTTTCCAAATCAGATTCAAATAAACAAAGCATCGATGGACGTCGCCGGATCAGAAACTACCAAACAGATAGACACTGATAAGTCGATTATGTGATTTGATGCTGTGATCCCTGGCGAAAATGTACAGCAGGTATCTTGGACATGTCAGTAAACGATTATCCATGTTCTGTATATGGACGCTATCCTGATATCACAAAGACGCTTGTCTGGCTTTTAACGTGTAGTGCTCACCACAGGAGTATGGAATAACACTAACATTACGAAGAAACCATATAACTCATATAACTTAGATAACTTAGATATCAGCAAAATTTATTTTTGACAGAGTGAGTTAAAAATGTAAATCACATCTCAATATTTCAGCCATATCGTGACTACAGACATTCATAGTGAGTGAGTGAGTTTAGTTTTACGCCGCACTCAGCAATATTCCAGCTATTTGGCGGCGGTCTGTAAATAATCGAGTCTGGACCAGACAATCCAGTGATCAACAGCATGAGCATCGATCTGCGCAATTGGGAACCGATGACATGAGTCAACCAAGTCAGCGAGCCTGACCACCCGATCCCGTTAGTCGCCTCTTACGACAAGCATGGGTTACTAAAGATCAATATTCTAACCCGGGCCTTCACGGATCGACAGACATTCATAAATTAATACCACATCATAGAATACTTTATAAAAAGCAGTCATCCTAGTAAACTCCTAGAATAGCACATTCATTATTAAAACTAGTTGAGAAAGTTAAAATATTAAGGTATTCATTGACAAACAGTCAATAGAAAAGTGGGCCAAAGAGGCCACCATACCAGGGACCCTGGGGGCTTCAATACTTCTGCTTCCTGCACGGCTCAACAGCGGGATCTATACCATCCTTTAGGAATGTTTTGAGTGAGAAACATTTTATAGACACTTGAAGAAATATTGCATTGTAAAGGATATTTAAGTTTCTTAGGTTTGATTTGGATCGGTAGGTAACACATTTCAAAATTCCTGCCCTGAATTTTATGCTGCATAAATATTATAAATGTAAAATCCGACATTTCAGTTTTATGATTTGGTTGACAGTAGATTAGGATTCAACATATATATTTACCTTGTAAAGACGGTACAGCGATAGAAAGAGATATGGTTAGGCACGAACTAATCCCTCGAAGTATTATCAGTGTCATTACCGCCGGTGTATTAAGAATTATTATTCTGATATTTTACTTTTTAATATCGGCGGATATGTAATCCGAGCAGAACTATTTAAGGCTTTAACATCTAAGAAAATAATCCACGGCATGTTTATTTTACTGGTGTGTTTCGAATGTATGAAAACCTTTTGGAGGATTTATTATGGTTGTATCCTTTTACCTGCTTTAATAATACGGCTCTCCGGCATTAGGCAACAAAGAAACCCTAAATGACTACTTTTTTATCAGATTGTGTGAGTATCGGGTTTGTTTGTTGGCTGGTTGGTATAACGCCGCACTCAGCAATGTTCCAGCTATGTGGTGTCCGTCTGTAAATACTAGTAATCGCGTCTGGGCTCCGTCTAACAAATCTATCGTAGCGCTACGACTGTCGTACTCCTTTACGACTTACGACAGTCGTAGCGCTACGATAGCTTTGTGAAACGGGGTCCTGGGCCTAGATTTTCGAAGCTCTCTTAGCACTAACATAGTTGTAAGTTAATGTTAATGTATGGCACTTACGACTATCTTAGCGCTAAGAGAGCTTCGAAAATCTAGGCCCTGGACCAGACAATCCAGTGATCGTACGTTTTGGGTGATACAGGTGGAGCAGCACATGTATACACTTTTCGCGAACACCCGGTGTCATCACTGGCTTTCAGTGATACATTTATACACTTTTCCCACTAATTTGCCTTTCAAATGAATCGGCGCATAATCGAGACTGGTTTATCTCTGTCGTTGATGCGTTATATTTAAATGATAAACGATAGACCACTGGCTGCTCAGCGTTGTGGATATAAGAGTTCTTGCCCCCGCTGTACAAATTGAGATAACCCGTGAAGATCCGGGTTAGAAATGATCTTCAGTAAACCATGCTTGTCCTAAGAGGCGACTAACGGGATCGGGTAGTCAGACTCGCTGACTTGATTGAAACATGTCATCGTATCCTAATTGCGTAGATCGATGCTCGTGCTGTTCATCACTGGATTTCCTGGTCCAGACTAATTTATTTACAGACCGCCGGAATATAGTTGAATATTGCTGAATGAGGCATTAAACAACAAACAAAAAAGTTGATCTGAGGGCTGGGAAGATAGTTACTGTCATACCTTAATAATGACGCATGAGTGGTAGCTATCGGTTTATGGAAGGTGATCTTGTCTCATCTTTCAATATCTTAATCATATCGATTTTGAAACATACATCACAAATACATCATTGAAAAACGAGTGAGTGAGGTAATGAGTGTGCTTTTATGCCACTTTTGGAATTATTCCAGGAATATCACGGCGAAGGACACCAGAAAAGGGAAGCTAACATTGTGTATAATGCTATTGAATGCGGATCTATCATTATTCATGATACCATGTCATGCCGAGCTATCATAATATATGATAACATAGAATACGTTGATATCATAAGGCAGGATGCCACGTGCCGCCGAGCTTTCATTATCTTTGATAGTACCGTAGGGCTCATATTGTCCGAACGTTCCGCTGCACACCTAAGACATGTGTCCAGGCTTTTACAACGACACAGGCAGACCGGCTGGACCAAAGACAGACCCCGGAGTGGAAGACCATGTGTCACAACGCCGCAAGAAGACCGTTGCTTCCGGGCGTTTCACCTGCGCAACCGTTTTGTGACAGCAACCAGCGGAAACGGCACTGGGTCATGGTATCAGTCGACGTACAGTGCCAAGAAGATTGCGTGCAGCAGGAATTCGGGCCTACCCGCCCTTCCGTGTCATGGCCTTGACCCCTCAACATCGGCGTAATCGACTGCAGTGGGCACGACAAGTTTACAGGTGGCAAGCACGGAATTGGCGACGAGTCCTATTCACAGACGAAAGCGCTGTCATCCTGTAATACGCAACCATAAGTCAGCGTATGTACCGTCGTCGTGGTGAACGTTTAGCACGTCCATGCATCCAGGAAGTTCATCCTTACGGTGGTGGTGGTGTGATGGTATGGGGCGGTATCTGTGGTGACGTAAACACTCCATTGGTGCTGATAATTTGACATCTGAATGCACATCAGTACATTCAACAAGTTCTGCAGCCAGTTGTCTTGCCTTTCTGGTAAACTCATATTCCAGCATGATAACGCGAGGCCCCACACAGCAAGAGCAACAATCAACGTCTTGCAGCAAAACAACGTTCATGTTCTGCCGTGGCCTGCCTGTTCTCCGGATATGAATCCCATTGGGCACTTACGGGATCACTTGAACA